CCAGGCCACCATCTTTGTCAGCTGGGTGGGTGGGCTGTGGGGGGGGGGGGTCCACATTAGTATGACCATATAGTGTAGGTGTAGAATGTACTTTGGGATAGAGGAAGTTCGCCGTGCTTGCAGGGACAGGAAGTAAGGGCAAGTCCAGGTTCTGACCCTTCTCCAGATCCATGTGAAATGGACTCTATTTCTACCTCTTAGAAACGTCCAATCTGACGGGTTCACGGTTATTTGGCACACGTGTTCTGATGTACAAATTTCTCTTATGAGGACGCGCGTGCATGCAATCATGACCGATCCTTCACCCCGAGCTTGAGAGAAGTCTCCTTGTGTGATGGTTGGCTTAAGTCTGAACTCCGGGATCAGCAGACATTGTCCTCATACCAGAGCCATCTATGTTCTGGAATCTTGGGGAGCTTTGTGTATTTCTTCCTGATCTGTGCTGTCATCCAGTATGAGACCGCTCACTGCTCTCTCTCTTCTTGTGCAGGGTGACTGGTCTCGTCTCCGCCCCCTCCTGTAATAAAGACCGCTCACTGCTGCTCTCTCCATGTGCAGGGTGACTGGTCTCGTCTCCGCCCCATCCTGTAATAAAGACCGCTCACTGCTGCTCTCTCCTTGTGCAGGGTGACTGGTCTTGTCTCCGCCCCCTCCTGTAATACAGACCATTCACTGCTGCTCTCTCTTCTTGTGCAGGGTGACTGGTCTTGTCTCCACCCCCTCCTGTAATATAGACTGCTCACTGCTGCTCTCTCCTTGTGCAGGGTGACTGGTCTTGTCTCCGCCCCCTCCTGTAATAAAGACCGCTCACTGCTGCTCTCTCTCCTTGTGCAGGGTGACTGGTCTTGTCTCCGCCCCCTCCTGTAATAAAGACCGGTCACTGCTGCGGGAGGGGCAGGACTGGGTGCCATTCAGGTGTGCTGCTTGCAGATATATGCTGTTCAGAGGAGGGAGCAGAAGGATGACGTCATTCATCTGCTGCCGTTCATTCACTGTCCACTCAGCAGGCTGGGGGGGCGGAAAGAAGACGTCACTTCTGTGAGTGGTGTTAGTCATCTGCCTGAGCTGCGTAAATCTCAGGACTGGATGGACAGATGCTTTGCCAGGCAGACGTTCCTCCCCCATCGCTGTATTCAATGATCTGATTGGTAGAAATTCTCGTCACTTTAAACTTGTCTTAGAGGAAGATCTGCGGAATGTGACACGTTGAGTTTCATTGATAGAGGCGAACTCCAGCCAAATGTTTTCCTTCCCTCCAGAAGAGAGAGCGGGAGAATTCTGTGCCCCTATTAGGGTGATGTAGCCTAACTTCCTGTTGTCACAGGAACAGGAAGTGAGTAGGAGCTCTGCAGCGGGAACCCAGTAATAAAGAATGTTTGGTTAGGAGAGGGGTAAAGCGAGGGAGGGGGCTGCTCTGGATTGTGTTGCTGTCTCTGTCCCCTTTTGAAAAGAAGCTGATTCATTGTCCCAGGAGAATTCTGTGCCCCTATTAGGGTGATGTAGCCTAACTTCCTGTTGTCACAGGAACAGGAAGTGAGTAGGAGCTCTGCAGCGGGAACCCAGTAATAAAGAATGTTTGGTTAGGAGAGGGGTAAAGCGAGGGAGGGGGCTGCTCTGGATTGTGTTGCTGTCTCTGTCCCCTTTTGAAAAGAAGCTGATTCATTGTGCCAGCTATGAACCCCCCAGCACCAAGAC